GGCTAACACGGTGAAACCCTGTCTCTACTAAAAATACAAAAAATTAGCCAAGCGTGGTGGCAGACGCCTGTAGTCCCAGCTGCTGGGGAGGCTGAGGCAGGAGAATGGCGTGAACCTGGGAGCGGAACTTGCAGTGAGCGGGGATCACGCACTGCACTCCAGCCTGGGCGGCACAGCCAGACTCCATCTCAAAAAAAAAAAAAAAGAAAACCAAATTGCCCCAAAACTAGAAGCATAAGACAACAAAAATTTATCTCACACCATTTCTGAGAGTTAGGAATCTGGGTAGCTTTACTAGGTGGTTCAGGCTCAGGGTCTCTCATGAGACTGCCTTCAACCTCTCACTAGAGCTGCAGTCATCTGAAGGATTGACTGGAGGCTCCATTTCTACATTGTATTACTCACATAGAACTCAGTGCCTAATTTGTGTAGGCAGAAGGTCTCAGTTCATCACTACATACACCTCTCTAAGAGCTGCTGCAGTATCCTCGTGACATGGCACCTAGCTTTCCTCAGAGCAACTTACCCAAGGGAGAGCAAGGAAGAAGCCAGACTCTCTTTTATGATCTGGACTCAGAAGTGAAGTACCTGCTATATTCTATTGGTAACACCTGATACACTATGAGAGGAAAATACACACAAGCATGAACCAAGAACCACATCTGTGGAGCCATCTTAGAGACTGGCTACCACTCTTCCTGAAAACCCTATATAAGATCAACGGCCTGCTTTGCTCAGAGATCATGCTTAACCAGTATAATGCCCCATTATTTAAATATATAGTAAATTCAGATTTAAGGGTTTTATTTCAGATATTGAGTGTTAGTGTCATCCTTTTTTTAATTTCTAGATGTTCTTCCTCGATTTTTTGAAGTTTCTCATTTGGAAGTATTCCATTTGACCCAGGAACCAACAACAGTGCTCACTGCGCCTACTTCAACCAAAACTCTGATAGTGCTTTGTATCTGCTAGAATGTGAACACTTCTATGGCAGGTATTAAGCCTAAGTTATTTCTCAATCTTTATTGCCAAGTATATAGTAGACACTCAGTTAATATTTGTTAAATAAATAGATGCAGAAATCATAATGAAATAATAATCTTCCAAATTTTACCTCACAAAGTTAAGCAATATTGAGTGGTGGATTGTTGTAAATGTACAACTCATATTTTCTTTATCTAATAGACCTGGTGCCATCTTAATATTTTCTTACTCAAATGTTTCCAACATGCTTGGTGAAGCTGGGTTCGGGAGGTAGGAGACACATTTCTGATTTTATCACTGAAGTTTAAGGAAAAATGGAATTCACATAGAACACAACCATTTCATTAAATGAGAAAGACCTAATTCATCACCCTAATACATTTTTTATAACTTGAACATAGTCAAAAACTTTAGCCAGATATAATATGGCAATCATTTTTATCTTACTGTTGGATGATTCATGTAAGTGTAGCAAGTGTTGAAAGTTTGAACCAACTCAACCATGTAAACATAAAACATTTCTTCAATCAACAATTATAATTACCATGAAAACACATTCATATCCATTTGCCACTACCAAAGAAAACCAAAAAGGACATTAGAGAATGTGACATTGGAGTCTGATGGCAGTGTATAGTAGATAAAATACGGGATGAATGGGGATATACCCAAACAACTTTTCAAGTCCTATTTGGTATAAAATATATTTTTCAGTGACTATATTATTCATCTCAAGCAAGCAGATACTCAGTCTTATTCTAGTAACACATTTCTGAAAGCCAATCAGCAACTCAGTCTTTCCTGTGTAACCACACTCAGCAAACAGTGTCATTTTACTTCCACTGCTAAAAGCCACTAATCACTGACCTATATGCTTTCTATATTAGTTATCTACTGTTGTGTAACAAATTGCCCCATGCCGGGCACTGTGGCTCACGCCTGTAATCCCAGCACTTTGGGAGGCTGAGGCGGGCGGATCACAAGGTCAGGAGATGGAGACCATCCTGGCTAACACGGTGAAACCCTGTCTCTACTAAAAATACAAAAAATTAGCCAAGCGTGGTGGCAGACGCCTGTAGTCCCAGCTGCTGGGGAGGCTGAGGCAGGAGAATGGCGTGAACCTGGGAGCGGAACTTGCAGTGAGCGGAGATCACGCACTGCACTCCAGCCTGGGCGGCACAGCCAGACTCCATCTCAAAAAAAAAAAAAAAGAAAACCAAATTGCCCCAAAACTAGAAGCATAAGACAACAAAAATTTATCTCACACCATTTCTGAGAGTTAGGAATCTGGGTAGCTTTACTAGGTGGTTCAGGCTCAGGGTCTCTCATGAGACTGCCTTCAACCTCTCACTAGAGCTGCAGTCATCTGAAGGATTGACTGGAGGCTCCATTTCTACATTGTATTACTCACATAGAACTCAGTGCCTAATTTGTGTAGGCAGAAGGTCTCAGTTCATCACTACATACACCTCTCTAAGAGCTGCTGCAGTATCCTCGTGACATGGCACCTAGCTTTCCTCAGAGCAACTTACCCAAGGGAGAGCAAGGAAGAAGCCAGACTCTCTTTTATGATCTGGACTCAGAAGTGAAGTACCTGCTATATTCTATTGGTAACACCTGATACACTATGAGAGGAAAATACACACAAGCATGAACCAAGAACCACATCTGTGGAGCCATCTTAGAGACTGGCTACCACTCTTCCTGAAAACCCTATATAAGATCAACGGCCTGCTTTGCTCAGAGATCATGCTTAACCAGTATAATGCCCCATTATTTAAGTATATAGTAAATTCAGATTTAAGGGTTTTATTTCAGATATTGAGTGTTAGTGTCATCCTTTTTTTAATTTCTAGATGTTCTTCCTCGATTTTTTGAAGTTTCTCATTTGGAAGTATTCCATTTGACCCAGGAACCAACAACAGTGCTCACTGCGCCTACTTCAACCAAAACTCTGATAGTGCTTTGTATCTGCTAGAATGTGAACACTTCTATGGCAGGTATTAAGCCTAAGTTATTTCTCAATCTTTATTGCCAAGTATATAGTAGACACTCAGTTAATATTTGTTAAATAAATAGATGCAGAAATCATAATGAAATAATAATCTTCCAAATTTTACCTCACAAAGTTAAGCAATATTGAGTGGTGGATTGTTGTAAATGTACAACTCATATTTTCTTTATCTAATAGACCTGGTGCCATCTTAATATTTTCTTACTCAAATGTTTCCAACATGCTTGGTGAAGCTGGGTTCGGGAGGTAGGAGACACATTTCTGATTTTATCACTGAAGTTTAAGGAAAAATGGAATTCACATAGAACACAACCATTTCATTAAATGAGAAAGACCTAATTCATCACCCTAATACATTTTTTATAACTTGAACATAGTCAAAAACTTTAGCCAGATATAATATGGCAATCATTTTTATCTTACTGTTGGATGATTCATGTAAGTGTAGCAAGTGTTGAAAGTTTGAACCAACTCAACCATGTAAACATAAAACATTTCTTCAATCAACAATTATAATTACCATGAAAACACATTCATATCCATTTGCCACTACCAAAGAAAACCAAAAAGGACATTAGAGAATGTGACATTGGAGTCTGATGGCAGTGTATAGTAGATAAAATACGGGATGAATGGGGATATACGCAAACAACTTTTCAAGTCCTATTTGGTATAAAATATATTTTTCAGTGACTATATTATTCATCTCAAGCAAGCAGATACTCTATAGGCAAAGCATAACATTGACCTAAACATAGTGCATTTAAACTTACCCAAATTAGAATAGGCCATTTCCTATACTTGAGCAGATATAAATGATATAAAATATATAGAGCTCCTTTCAAATGAGAATGTAAGTTTTTTACAGTAATTAATCCTACAGAACACCTCAAAGAATAGGCTCAAAATTAAGCTTAGTTTTTGACAAGAGTAATAAATGTCTATATTCTAAATAAGCAAAGGAAAACTAGGACAAGTCAGGATAGCAAATTTAAGAAGGCAAAATAAATTATATACACATCAAATAGTTACAAGAAAATATGACAAAAAGTTAGATTAAAAAATACAGACAGAAATCCAAGTAAATGCTGGGATGTGTATTTTTAAAAGTCTTTAAAAAGTGCAAAAATATAAGCAGAACTAGTAGTAGCTAAGATTACATTCACAATAAGTCAAACATGTATTGGATTATCATGTTGTATTCTGAGCTTCATCCCTTAAAATAAATGAGAAAATTGGAAAAATGTTCAGAGAGAAGTGCCAAAAGGGATCAAGGATTAGAAGGAGGGATTCTGAAGAATACATTAAATAGCCCATTTTAGAAAATAAAGAGTCATAATAATCTATGCATAACCTTTATTTTGTTGTTAGTGAATAAGTTTCAACTGCAATAAAGGATATATAAGAAAGTCTTCTGTTACAAAGTAGAAAATTCTTAAAGAAGATCACCAAAAATCAGCCTTGACTGTCAAGGATGATTGTCTAATTGCTGGAATCTTTAAAGCTAAGATAGATTCTAATTTAGCAAATGTATATCAAGTCTTGACTAAAGGCAGTGAAGCAAACTAAATTACATAAAAAATACCTTGTACTTTTTTAATGGGAATAAAAACAGTAATTAGGCCAAGAAATCAGGTTCCAGTATTAATTACGTAATTTAAATAACCATGTATTCTAAGGGTAAGTAAAGTGTATTATATGAAGTGCTGGAAATGATATGAAAAAGAAGTAGCAGAACTATAGGTCATTGATATTACTCAGCATCTGAACTAATGAGAAACTTGACAGTAATACAATAATACGATTTCAGTTAAAATGGACCATTGGTTTAGGAAAGTGATTTGATCATTCATTTGTATTCCCTAAATGATTTTCTTGAAAGATAATAGCTAATCCACCCCTTCAAGGTATCTCCATTAGAATTCCAAGAATTATAGGCCTAAAATGCTCCTTAATATAATCTATAGCTTCAAGGTTAAAAATTTATCAAAGTCACAAAAGCTTAACAAAGGAGAGAAACAAGTTGAGCATATTTGTGATAGTCCAGAGGGTTGCGGAGCTTGAGGACAGACAGTGCTTAAAAAAAAAGACAACCGAAGATATGTTAAAAGACTAACTTTCCAAAATAGCCTTTCTAAAACTAAGTGTGACAAGCCATATATTCCTGGAAAAAAATTAAAGACTTGTTTTTTGCTTGGTCTAAGATTATAAAATTATAATCTAGAGGAAATTCTTTGTGCCTATTAAGCAAGTTGAAATTATGACTTATGCAGCATTCCAGTTACGATCAAGCCACTATTCTAGGAAATATGGGATATAAAAATATGGTTGTACCAGGTATTTTTAGAGAATGTATGGTCCTCATACTAGGTACTTTGTTAGCAACTCATGCCATTTATGGAGCATTCGTAACTCTATTTAATCATTGGTTCTTGCTGTTGATAGATCTCTGAATTTACAGAGTAAAATCAATAAACAGGAGTACCTACATTGTAGAGTATTAATGTTGGAACACATAATAAATTCCCAAAGCTATCTTCCCTAAAATGTTTATAGTTAAGGAGTTACTCAGTTTTAGGAAGCACTTCTGTAATAGACTAATCTTTTTCAAGGCAAATGTTGCAAAGCTCTTGTCAGTCAATTCAATAACAATGTAATTCAAAAAGATTCAAGGTTCTGGTCACTTACCCATAGAAAAAGAAAAAAATCAGCAAAAAGCTTGGAAGACAGAGTTTGAAAATAACAACACAATGCCACTTGCATATTTCCTTTTAATTTGTTTTATTTTAACAAAGTGTTTGCAAATAGACTGTAAACAGCAAACACAAATAGGTATAGGTCACCTTCTGATAATTTCAGGTGGAAAATCGCAGAGAAAATAAATAGCAGTCAGGTTCTTAATTCATTTTATTAAACCCAAAACTTTCAACTTAAGTTACTCTTTTTCATAATTTTCTTTCCTTTTCTTTCTCTCTTCTTCCTCTAGGCTATTACAGAACTGAGCCCTTAAATATGCCTTTGTATGCATCAGTCCAATGATATTGCACTGAATTTGTGACTCTCTTTAAATAAGTTTTAAAATGCAAGTTTTAAAGCTTCAAGAGAAAACATCTTTTAAAAATACTACCAAAATAAAAACTTCCCTACCTTGGTTCTTTAATATTTATGTTTTTAACTTGCTTTTTATAGATTTATTGAGGCATAAAATATATACAATAAACTGCATAAAGTGTAATATTCAATAACTTTTTACTTTGTACATCCATGAAATGATAACCACAATCAAGATGATAAACATTTCCATCACTCTCAAATTTTTTAACCCATCACCTCTCACTTCTACTTCCAATCTTCATTCTCAGGTAGCCACAGATTTGTTTCTACTCAGTTTGCATTTTCTAGTATTTTACATAAATGGAATCATATAGTATGTGCTCTTTATTGTCTGGCCTCTTTCACTCGCATACTTATTTTGAGATTCAGCCATGTTGTTAGTGTATCAAAGGTATCCAGGTTTTTTCTTTTATATTGCTGAGTATTCTACATAGATATATCACAATATGCTTATCCATCCATCTGTAGGTAGTTATTTGAGTTGTTTCTATTAGTTTGAGTGTTTTATAAAAATGTTTTATGAATATTCATATACAAGTTTTTGAATAGACATATATTTTCTCTTCTTTGGGATAAATATGTAGAAGTGTAATGCCTGGTTGTATGGCAGGTGTATGTTTAACTTTTTTAAAAAATTGGCCAGGTGCAGTAGCTCATGCTTGTAATCCCAGCACTTTAGGAGGCAGAAGTGGGCAGATCACTTGAGGTCAGGAGTTCAAGACCAGCATTGCCAACATGGTAAAACCCCATCTCTACTACTAAAATATATATATATGAATTAGCTGGTTGCGGTGGTGGGCACCTGTAATCCCAGCTTCTTGGGAGGTTGAGACACAAGAATCACTTGAACCTGGGAGAGAGAGAGTGCAGTGAGCCAAGATTGTGCCACTGCACTCCAGTCTGGGCTACAAACTGAGATTCTCTCTAAAAAAAAAAAGAAAAAAGAAAAGAAAAAAAAAGAAAAAGAAAATAGATAAATCAATGCCAAAATATTTTGCAAACTGTATTTACCATTTTATATTTGTAGTAGCATGATATTAGTGTTCTGGTTGCTGCACATCCCTGCTGACACTTGATATGACCAGTCTTCTTAACTTTAGCCATTTTCGTAGATGTATAGTGATATCTCACTGTGGTTTAATTTACATTTCCCTATGGCTAATGATGGTACACATCTTCTTATGAACTTTTTGGCCATTTATATAAATGATTCTCTTTTAATTTTGTGTTTATTTTAAAACATTTTACTAATAGTAAACTTCATTCCTTTTGGTGTACGATTCTATGGGTTTTGACTTATTTAAAGTCATGTCATCACTATCATAATCAAGATACAGAACGGTTCCATCACCCTAAAAACTCCCTCATGCTGCCTCTTTGTAGTAAAACCCAACCATCAAATTTAAACCCTGGCAATCACAGGCCTGACCTTTGTTACTATAGGTTTGCTTTTTCAAAAGTGCCACTTAAATGGAATCATACCATAGCCCTGGATTCTGGCTTCTTTCACTTAACATGATACATCTGAAATTCATCCATGTTGTGTGTATCAATAGTTCACTCCTCCATTTTTACTGCTGAACCAAATTTTTATGGATGAACCAAATTTTGTTTATTCACTCACCAGTTGAAGAACAGTTGTGTTGTTTCCAGCTTTTGACAACTTTGAATAATGCTGATTATATATATATGTATATATGCGTATATATATGTATGTATGTATGTATACACACATACATTACATATATAATATATTGTATATATTTCCTATTTATATATATTATAAATATGTGTGTTTTGTGTAAATAAATGCTTTCTTTTATTTTGGGCAATTACCTAGGAATAGGTAATTGCCTAGGAATAGAATGGCTAGGCTTTATGATTAGAATATATTTCATTTATGAGAAAGTATCGAAATATTTTCAAAATGGCTGTATTATTTTGCATTTCCACCAGTAATGTGTGAGTGTTTGAGGTGTTCCATCTCCTTGTTTGGTATCATTAGATTAAAAAAATTATTTTAGCCTTTCTAATAAGTGAGTAGTAGTATTTCACTGTAGTTTAAATTTGCATTTCCCTGATGACTAATGATGTTGATCATCTTTTCATGTGCTCATTTGCTATCTATATATCTTTTTTCACTATTTGGTTTTGCAGAACTGCAAAGTTAATTTATAGAAAAATAGTCTTTTCAACAAATATTGTTGGAAAGTTTGTGATATCAAAGTATTAAAAAAAGAACTTCAATTTATATCTTGAACCACATACAAAAATTAACCCCAAATCAACCACACACTGAAATATAAACCTAAAACTATAAAATTTATAGAAGAAAACCTTGTTGCTACAATCCAGGCCAACACTTCTTGGATATGGCAGCAAAAGCATGCAATAAAGAAACACAGTAGTAAATTGTACTTTATCAAAAGTGAAAACTTCTGCTCTTCCAGAGATACTATTAAAAGACAGAAAAGACAAACCACAGACTGGAAGAAAATATTCACAAAGCATATAAAGGTTAACTTATTTGTATTCAGAATATGTAAAGGATTCTCAAAACTTAATAAATAATAATATGAAAATGATCAAAAGTTTTGAATAGACACTTCAACAAAGATATACAAATAATAAATACATGAAAAGATGCCAAATAACATTGTTTACTAGAGAAATGCAAATTTAAACCACAAAGAGCTACCAACATACATTTATTAGATTGGCTAAAATTAGAAAGGCTGATTGTACCAAGTGTTGATACAGCTGTGGAATAAATGCAACTCTTATATCTCTGCTGTGGGTGGGTAATATGAAATGTTATAATGACTGGAAAACAAGTTGGCCAAGAGAAATGCAAGCACATGTCTAACCACAGTCCTGAACATGAATGTTCATAGCAACTTTACTTGTAGTAATGCAAAAGTGAAAAGAACCCAAATTTCCATCAACTAGTGAGTAGACAGGCATAATATAGTTTCACTATTCTAGTGGAGGTACCAAAGCACAAAACAGTCCCTTTTTAAATTGCAGGCATAGTATCTAAGAAGTAAAGAGAACATTCTATAGGATCTATGTATCATCCCACATCATCTATGTGATGAATATAGTTATATATAATAAGGTATCACTTATTTATAATAAAAAATAAGGCTCAATATCTTACCTATATATTTATAACCTTCTTCCCCATTTACTATGGGTCTCAACCAAGTTGACTTGAGTAGTGTACTGTTAGGCACGTGTGCACCTTCAGGAGGATAGAGTGTAAATAACATTTCAATTGCTTTGGACTTTTTGATTAGGTCAGAATATTTTTCTTTGCCATCTATAAAGAAAAGAGAAAATATATAAAATTTGCGACATTTTACAGAGTGTCATACTTGCTTCTTTTAAGGGATGCAAATTAAAAACTATTTAACAATTTGGGTACAACAGGTCACACTGAAAACATGTTTTGTTTAGTCAAAGTTACTTTACCAAAAATCTTCTTTTTCAGTTAATTCCAAAAGCTAAAGAGTAAGGGTTTTACTAATATCATCTTAAACCACTATCAGCTTGAAGCAGTATTGTTAAAGCTGTGAAAAAAATTAAGATATCCAATGAACAGCATTCACATTATACATTCTATAGTATAACCATAGATTCTTACTTTTAACTTCTGTTAAACAATGGAATCAGATTAATCTGACAAAAATGTTGAGTAAATATAGAGTTCCATATATTGGAACTACTAAAGGAATTAATATTCCTAGGTGAAGGTTTTTAAGAGAATATAAAATGCATATTGCTGTGACTGAATTATTTTTATCTGGCAAACATTTGTATAGCACATATTATGTGCAAAGAATTATTCCTAGTGCTTTAAAATATTAACATATTTAATTTTCATAACATACCTATAAGGTAAGTCCTATTATTATTTCCTTTTACATGTAGAAATTGAGACCCAGAGAAGTTAAATAACTTGCCTAAATTTTACAGTCTATAAATGATGCAAGTAGGCTTCAGATACCTAAGGAAGCTCTTATTTGCAAATGAATCTTTGTCAACTGAACATGGCCTGTATTAACTAGTAGCTGAGAAAACTGGAATTAAACAATAATTTAAATTATATACTGAAAAATCTCTGGTATGCCCATTGGACCTCCAGTTTGTAATTCTAGTTTTTGGTTGATAAGCCAGGGTCCTAAAATTCAACAAAGCAGTCTCCTGAGGACTTAAAGTGACTCTGCCTAGAAACATTTTAAAGAAAAGAGAGACACTAATGTAAATCTCCACTTATAACCCGATTACATATATTTCCTTCCTTTCCTCTTAGTCTTCTTTATTTTGTTACATGTCATATTTTCTGATAAAGTGAATATAAGGCCATATAACATGATTTGATGGCGAACAGTGTGCTAGGTATCCATCTATTGCCTCACAAATCCAAATCCATCCTTCACTGTCCTGCTTGTGAGGTTAGAATGCTTCTTCCTTGCAATACGGTATGATTTTAAGTATAAAACAAATTGGGCAATGGAGAGAACTGGACAATGAATGGGTTCTTTCTGGATCTGGTGGGTCTCTTAGCAGGCTCCTGCAACTTCTCTGGCATCTCAGAGGGCACTCCGCTCCTCCCACCACTGGGCACTTCCTAGAGTGTTCCACCAGCGCAGCATCTTCCTATGAATGGCTTCCCATTGAGTTCCACAATGTGACATCACCTTACAGACAGTTTGCCACAGATCTCCAGAATGGCTTCTCCATGAGTGTCACTAGAATGCCAGCTCAGTGTAGTCCCCCATTCACTGACTCCCCATGGGTGGCCTTTGTAAAAATTTGTCTTTCTTCAGGTGCTCTGCCTCAGACCAAGTGGTCCCTATATCTCCTCTTGTCAATTAGAGTTCTTTTACCCCTTAGTAGAAAATCACATTTACTCCAATCTCTGTCGTAGTTAATAACTACTATATTAGACTTTTCCTGCTTAAATTACTATGCAGTTTCTATCTGCTAAGTGGACCCTAACTGATACAGACAGACCTGGGTCCTAATTCTTAATGGGCTTTGAAATATAGTCATGTGCTGCATAACAACATTTCAGTCAATGATGGACCAGATATAAAATGGAGCTTAAATGCCTAGTGAAGTCCTGGCTGTGGTGACATTGTAGCACAATGAATTACTCACATGTTTATGATGATGCTGGTGTAAACAATGTTACTACACTGCCAGTTATATTAATGTACAGAACATGCAACTATTTACAGTACATAATACGTGATAATAAATGGCTGTTAGTGGTTTCTGTATTTACCATACTATAATTTTTAACATTATGTTACGGTGTACTCCTTCTACTTATTAAAAAAATCAAAACCTGTAAAACAGCCTCAGGCATGTCCTCCAGGAGCTATTCCAGAAGAAAGCATTGTTATCATAGTAGATGGCAGCTTCATGCTGCTATTGGCCCTGAATATTTTGCAGTGGGACAAGATATGGAGGAGAAAGACAGTGAATATTGACGATCCTGTGTAGGCCGAGGCTAATGTGTATGTTTGTGTGTTAATTTGTAATAAAAAACTAAAATATATATGTAAACAAATCCTAAAATAGAAAGGGCTTACAGAACAAGGATGCAAACAAAGAATATATTTTTTTACAGTTGTACAATCTATTTGTGTTTTCAGCTAAGTGTTATCACAAAGTGTCAAAAAGTTACGAAGAAATTTGAAAGTTTATAAGGTAAAATATAGTAAGCTAATTTTTTACTGAAGAAAGAAAACATTGTTGTTACAAATTTAGTGTCACTTAAGTGTTCAGTATTTATAAAGTCTACAGTAGTGTACAGTCATGTCCTAGGCCTTCACATTTACTCACCACTCACTCACTGACTCACCTAGAGCAAATTTCAGTCCTGTAAGCTCCATAAGTGCCCTATATAGGTGTATCATGTTTTGTTTTGGATACTGTATTTTTACTGTACCTTTTCTATGTTTGATGTGTTTAGATACACAAATCCTTACCATTGTGTTACAATTACCTACTTATATTTTTCATATGCCTCAATATCAGGTCAAATAAAATGCCTACACTAAAATCTAAGTAGAGGTGAATATAGAACTGCCACTTTCTCCCACTAGCTTATCCTGACTGAAGACTAATAGAAACACATGAAGTCAATGGAGTGTTGAATTTGCAAGGAAAACGTAAAGATAAATGTAACATTAGACATATATTGAAGGTTTGTAGAGTCTTGCTAATGCCCCATTTTCCAATTGGTAGTGTCAATGGAGTCTTGGAACTTACACAAACAAGGCCTCATGATTTTTTAAATGATTGTACCTTCTTTCATAATTGCAAAGTTAACTACAAATAAACACGTTTTCATTTGAAAGGCATATAGCTGGTAAAACTCTGTTCCTTATTTTTCATTACGCATGTCATCCCAAGACAAAAGCAGGAATTTAATTTGTTTCTGATATTAATAATTTTTGCTGTTTATGGACTACTTCTTTTTGATATACTAAGTCAATATTGCCATACGGGATTTAGATGTAGCAACACACTACTCTTGAAACTCAAAAGAATAAGAGCTCTTCCTTACCCCTACCTCACTAGGCCACATACGCAATATCTGAAGTTTTTTGAATTAACAAATGGATAGAACATAGTTGCCGGTATTTATTGAGAATTTAGTATACAACAGGTGTGCAAAGCAGGTTATACACATTTGCTAATTTAATTCTGAAATCAGAATATGTTTAATTTGCTGAGAATCCTATGAAGTCAATATTACCATACATCACAGCTCAAGATACTGAAGCATAGGAAGGTTACAGGGCATTTTCAAGGCCTTCCAGCTGGTAAGAGGTGAAACCAGAATTTATTCCCTATTCTGTCTAACTTCAAAGCCTGTTTTTTAAACCACAATGCCATGTTGTTTTAACCAATGGTTCCTGGTATCAAGAGACTGTTAGCACTTCAATGATTACGAGTCAACTGGTGGTCTCTCCTGTTGCTAATCACCCTTCCAATCTGTTCAAATCCTTCTACAGCTATACCTGTAAAGTGTACTCTGCTGGTCAGCCCTCTGGGAGCAGCATATAGCTGTTTCCTGGAGGTTTACTGATGTTGGTCTTCTCCACAAAAATTTATTTTGTAGCAGCTATTGAAAAGCCCTCAGGTCAAAACCACCATTTGTAAACTGATGATAGCCCTCTCAGTTCACTAAGAATAACGGCTAGTATAATATCCCACAGTATGAACTCTGCACCACCTCTAGTTTTCCCCTGCTTCTCAGATAAGTGAGGCTCGTTATGCTTAATATTCAGGGTAGATGAGGAGTTTTCAGAGAACTCAAGGTAGCCCTTCCCTTCCTCTCCCAAACAGTGTACTGTGTTATTGAGAGCTTGTTGCCTCCCTCCTGCAGAGCCTGGAGTATTTAAGGCAGTGGTTCCAGGGCTGTACTTCAAGAATCACAGTGATTTTAAAAATAAATAAATAAATATTAGAAAATTGACATAAAGATGGCAGACAGCTTTACATTCTGCTAAGTGGGCATAATAAAAAGAAAGAGCATCTATTGTCACAACTGTTCCTCTTTTTGTATGTATTACTGAAGAATATTTCAACACTCAAAATGCATGGGCAAGAACATCTCAGATGAAAGAACAATAATTTACACTGAACCATGGAGATTCCTAAATTTTTAGGAAATTTTAAAGTTTCAAGTTCTTTCTAATGTGCCTGCCCCTTCACACAAATGCCAGCACAGACACAATACTTTAAAAAGGGCAAATGTATAAATTATTAAGGTCAGGACCAGTTCTAAGTGTACCAGGGAGACTGGGTGGCTAACAAAGCTTAAACCAGAATGGTAGGGCTAGTTACTGAAGTCAATTTTTAACAAGTATTTATAAGTACAGATAGAAATAGCCTAATCCTTTATCTTTACCCTGTACTGGTCCTATTAAGTAACTAAATTTATCTGCAAGGTTTAAAAAAAACATATTTTATAGTTTTCATACTAATACAAAGATCACAGGTTAAAAACAATGACAACAGGTAGATGTTTTCTTTCATTGTGAATGTTATGCATTTACAATTAATTAGCAATGTAATGAACAATATTTAATAAATAACGAATGATATTCATTAAATTGCTAATGCATCCTTCATGGACTACTAGCCAATACTGTGAGGTTTTTAGTATGGAGTTTTCACATGTGAGTTTGAACTGGTGGACAAATAATCTATAACCTAGTGTAAATGACCAGTTTTTAAATGCTGTACTTTTAATATCTTGTCAGTGTTCAGTTAAAGCACTTTATGTTGCATTCATTT